ATTATGTTTATCATCGTGTACTGTTACTTTTGCTCTTCCCAATTCTTTTGTTTCACTGCAGTCTTCATCTACTTTGAGTCTTTCTCATTCTAAACCCTGTGCCTGGAATAATCTCCCTGTTCTAACCTGGCAGGCACCTTCTTTCTCCTATAAATCTCTTAAAATACATTTCTTCAAATAAATCCTCCTTCCTTATCAGTAATCACCATATCATTCCTCCTCTGAACTATTGTCCTATCTTGTCTCAAGATTGTAAACTCTTTTGAGTAGGAAATAAATGTCTTATGTTGGTAAAGCACATCAAATGTCTAATGCTATATAAAAAGAAAAGGCGTACTTGTGGCACCTTGGAGACTAACAAATTTATTTGAGCATAAGCTTTCGTGAGCTACAGCTCACTTCATCGGATGCATCCGATACATGCATGCATCCGATGAAGTGAGCTGTAGCTCACGAAAGCTTATTGTCAAATAAATTTGTTAGTCTCTAAGGTGCCACAAGTACGCCTTTTCTTTTTGCGGATACAGACTAACATGACTGCTACTCTGAAACCTGTCATAATGCTATATAGATTTACTTTAATTCTCAGAAAATCTGTTATGTACTGAGTAGTGCTATAATTTTGAGAATGTGTTGCATTCCTCATGCATAGAAGTGGTTGAAGTGTAAAACTGAACTCTGCTTTAACTGCTGAACCTGAAGTGGCATATTCATAATATTAAGTGTTCTAGAATAGAATTAGAAATCAGTATTTGATAATTTTGTCTCACATAGATTAATCTGTGAAATATTTTACAAAGTGAAATGCCGTTGGGCACCATGATAGTACTTATATGCTCTGATTGGATTTTGGTTGTCTTTGAGGCTGTTTGCGAAGGGTTATGTAATTGGACGCAGGATTGTAGGATAATAATTGTATTTCTAAACAGCCAGTGTGTGAGGGCACAGTCATTGACTATACCCCTTACAGGAAAAGCTTTTTCCTCTGAGCATCTCCTGCTATGAAATACCTCTGCTGCTACAAACAACTGGTTATATAATTGGGCATCAGAGCATCTTGGACTATGCTTTGTTCTTTGATCAGTCTATGTACAGATAGTCCACTGTCAGGCTGGGGCTCTGAATGTAGTAGTGATTAAATTTCCTCAGAATTGCGTTAATGATACACTGCAGAAGGAGTGTATTTAAGTGTTGTAGATAATGGGTGGCTGTAACTTCTCTGATGAAAGATAAGGGTAGACTGTAACTTGTCACTTTAAAATGTGCAGATTCAAAGTGATATGGTCAAAAGGAAAGTTGGAATGAAAAAGGCAAGTTCTGTCGTCTTGTGCTAAACTGGGGGCTGATGCAGATATTTGGCAGACTAATTCTTACGTAAGATGGAAATACCCTCTGAAGAAACCTTACAAGTGTGTGATGACTTTTGTAATTCTTGCTCCCTTGCACTATTCAGGGGATGAATTTGCTGTTTTCGTCCTGAAAATGAAATAACACAGTTAATGTGAACAGAGGATTGGAACAAGTCTATCTAATAATGTATTTATTGTAGTGTAGAAATTGAGTAATCTTTGGGATTCAGCATAGGGCAGATCTGAGGAAGTTCAGATTGTGACTTGTTTCATTTATTCTCTAAATATGTTCTTTCCAAAAGCATAATCTTGGCTCCTCAAAACTTGTGCCCTTGAAACCATGTGCTTAAAGTTGACTTGTCCAAATTCTGCCTTTGAAAGTGGAAGAACTAAATTCCACCTCTAGTTACACATGTACAATTAAACTTCATTGGTGTTGCAGGGGTGTGAATGTAGACAGAACTCAGCAAATCTCTGTGAGAGAAGAGAGAAACTGAACTAAAATTGGAGAAATACGTAGTGGAACGCCGTCCCTTTATCAGATATGCTTTTAGAAAATCTGCCTGTTGAGAGGGGAAATATAAACAAACTGGCAAAAATTAGAGCAACCTTAAAAAAAACCCATCAAATGAATTTACCCTCTAGTGTAGCGATTCTCAAACTGTGGGTCGGGACCTCAAGGTGGGTTGTGACCCCCTTTGAATGGGGTCACCAGGGCTGGCTTAGACTTGCTGGTGCCCGGGGCTGAAGCCTAAGCCCCACTGCCCAGGGACAAAGCCAAAGCCCAAGAGCTTCAGCCCAGGGCGGCAGGACTCAGGTTGCAGGATCTCTGCCTGGGGCTGAAGCCCTTGAGCTTCAGCTTTGTATCCCATCCCTGGAGCGGTGGGGCTTGGGCTTTGGCCCCCCTACCCGGGGCAATGGGGTTTGGGTGGGCTCAGGCTTCGGTCCCACCTCCTGGGGTCACAAAGTAATTTTTGTTGTCAGAAGGGGGTCATGGTGCAATGAAGTTTGAGAACCCCTGCTCTAGTGTATCTGAGAGCTGTTAGTCTTATGACCCTGTAAATAGATTTTTTTTCCAGGAAGTAATGCAAGTGTACTAGTTCGCCCTGCATTTAGGGGAATGAGGATTTTTGATCAGTAAAAATTCAAAGGTGAGGATGGAGGTTGCATAGGTAGGAAAGGTACAAGTGAGGGTACGAATCTGAACTGTTCTTGCAGACTGGCTCCACCTTGAACGTACTAAACAGCAAGTTCTTTTCCAGCCGAGTTAGACCTCGCAAAAGGAAATTAAAACAAATAGTAAAAAGTTCTTCAGTTATATAAATAAAAAGAAAACAAGGAAAGAGGAAGTGGGGCTACTTTGCAGTGAAGATGGCGTCGAGATTAAAGATAATTTAGGTATGTCTCAAAATCTAAATGAATACTTTGACTCAGTTTTCAACAGGGTGAATAAAAATCAATGATTTTTTTTAAAACTGCTTTTATTTATTTAAATTGGATTTTTTTGGTTAGGTTTTTTCCTCAAAAAGCATTTTATCTAAAGATGGTTTTAATTAAGATACTTTATAGCTCAAAGATATCTTATAATGGAATAGGGATTATAAATTCTTTTGTATGAGACAATATATTCACGTAATGTTTAAGAAAAGTTTTGTAAATAAGTTCCAATAGTTCATGGATTAGGGACCCAATCTTATGGGTTTTCAGGGGCTTCTGTATAGATTATTTAGATTAATCTTTTCATCTACCCAATGGGACTCAGTACTGAGTCTAGAAGATACCATCAGAGATGCTTAGTTTTGCAGTTCTCAAACTGTGGATTTATGTCTCCAGAGATAACATGCTTGTTAACAGCAAAATGTTTTAAAATAAATAATATATAGAGGTGAGAAATAACAGACCTCAACCCTATTGTCCCTCTGCAAATTTGTGTACCTAACCTCTCTCTAAAAGTACAAAGTTTCAAAAAGTTTAATGAATAGAAGATTGTTGGGGGCGGAATAGATCTGGACAAGGAGAAGACTGAAGATAAATGTGAGAAGGGAGGGACAGACAGTTGAAACAAAAGTGAAACTGTTTGGGCAGTAAGTCTGAGTATAGCCTTCATTGATTCCCGTACCATTTTCTCACTAGAAGGGAAAACCTATAATGGCAGCAGGTCGTAAAAGAGACCCAGTTTGGGAATAAGAACCATTCAAGAAATATATGTTTGCTGCTGATGTTTTAAAGAAAGTCACTCGAGTGAACTGGTGGAAGTCACTTAAGCACTTGGATTCAGAGACTGTTGAAGTGATAATCTCACTTTTAACAGCAGTAGCTTCTTCTGCTGTTGTAGAAAGAATATTTTCTTCCTTTGGACCAATTTGTTCCAAACTGAAATATCGTTTGGGACCTGAACAAGCAGGAAAGCTTGTTTTTCTTTTCCAGATTATGAACAAACAGGAAAATGAAGGTGAAGACGACTGAGTTGGCTGCAGAAGCCAATATTTTAAATTTCTCATGTTGATCTGGCTGACAGTAGTTTTCTTTTTTTTTTAATATTTCATTTAACTATTTTAGTTAAAAACAATTTTAACAAAAACAAACCAGATTTTAAAAAACTTGAATGTTTAACTAAATTCAAAAATTCAGATGCTTGTTTTGTTAAAATATTATATGTTTGCCGTTGAAGAAAAAAATCCAGAATACACAGCGTTGCTAGAAGAAAAGGAGTACTTGTGGCACCTTAGAGACTAACAAATTTATTTGAGCATAAGCTTTCGTGAGCTACAGCTCACTTCATCGGATGCGTTGCTGTTTTAGTTAACTAAAACAATTTAAATGTCTCTCTGGTGGTGATCTCCTCCTAATACAGCCTAATAGTATTTCATGTAGCATTTTAAACTTGCACAACACTTTCAAAAGATGCGTCTGGGAGCTTAAATTCATAACTTTGCCAGACACTAAAAATCACAGACTATATAGGGACACTGGATTTATGGCTTATTACAAAAACCTGTAATGCACTAACAACTGTCCCTCCCACCAGCTGCTTTCCCTTTCTCCTTTTCTCCCTGTGACCAGAGGAGTTTTTAATTGCCAACTTCACCTTGAATGGTCCCTTTCGGTATGTGTCAGCTACTTATGCAAAACAATCTGTTCCACCTTGTATTTAGCAGTGACGCTCTGAGTACCTTTCCTAGACCCGAAGAAGAGCTCTGTGTAAGCTTGAACGTTTATCTCTCTCGCCGACAGAAGTTGGTCCAATAAAAGATATTCTCACCCACCCTGTCTCCTAATATCCTGGGACCAACGTGGCTACAACAACACTGAATATAGCATTTGTGTCAGTTGATAATATCAAGTTGCATTACTTGATTTTTCACCTTTCCCTATTTGATTCTTTGGATGGATGATTGGGGTAAAAATGGCAACCATATGTATTAAAACTAGAAACTTTTTCCCCACAAGAACATAAGCTGTATTCAGGATCATGAAAACTAATTTCTTCCCTCCTCCCCTGGCCTCTTGATGTGTTTGGAAGAAAAAAGTGAGATGGAGTGAATCTTTTCTACTCCAGTACAGGAACTAACCATTTATGAAGTAGATCAAATTATATTACAAAATATATTGCACATTTTTCTCATTTTTTGCCTTTTTTTTTCTTTATAGGTGATTGGTCTGTTGGATGTGTTCACACCTGCTAAGTCACTGGAAGAATTCAATGATGTGTAGGTAACATCTTTGAAAACTGCAGCCCAAGCATACGATTATAGAAACGTAGGGCTGGAATGAACCTTGAGAAGTATAATCCAGGCCCTTGACTGTGGCTAAACCATCACTGAAAGGTGTTTGTCCAACCTGTTTTTAAAAACCTCCAGTGATGGGGATTCCACAGCCAGCTTTTCCTAATATCTAACCTAAATCTCCCTTGCTTCAGATTAAGCCCATTACTACTTGTCCTACCTTCAGTGGACATAGAGAAGAGTTGATCATTCTCTTTTTATAACAGCCCTTAACGTGTTTGAAGACTGTCACATATTCCCCTGCTCCTCTTCTCCCTCCCTCTCTCTCTCCTGCTTTCCCCTCCTCCCCCCCCACCCCCCCATAAGCACACAAACTACTATAGTAGTGCTGGCTGCACTTGGTACATGGTTGAAATTTGGAAGGATTGTGAGGATTATAGTTAAATTTTGTTTTGGAATCACAGGTCTTTTCTATCTCTAATTTCTTATTAATCATCTTATCCTTCCTCCTGCCAGTGTAGGATTGTTCCCTATAGTGCTTTTACTAGCACCTTGTCTAGTCTAGTTTTAAACCTCTGAAGTGTTGGGACTTCTTCTACATCGCATGTGAGATTATTTCAAGGCCTAATCATTCTCCTTGTCCAGAAACTCTCACTTCTAATTATATCTCCTTGTTATGCCATAAACAACTCTTCCCCTGTTTTATATTTACACCCTTCAGGTACTAGTAGGCGTCCTTTGTGTTCCTCCCATCACTGTTTACTCTTTACTGAGCCAACCTATACATATTTAGGCTGGGGTTTTCAAAGGCACCCAGTTCCCTTTAGTGCCTTTTGAAAATCCCCATTTTAGCTCCATTAGTCTCGTCTAATGATGTAAAATAATCACCCTTTTTAAATGACAAAAAATCAGGAAAGGGGCAGTGCATTCACGAGTTCTTCAAAGCCATAGCATATAGAGTGGGGTGTCCTGGTCAGCTCCCTTTGTGCTGCTCAGGCAATGCAGTCGATACCTGCCTTGGGGGGTATGAGTGCTTTGGAAGAGATTGACAGGGTTGGGAAATTAGCATTTACCTTATCTGGAATGAGACCACCTGTGCCAAGCCATTCATACATTTTTTAAAAGATATGATCCAGTAGATATTTGTGTCTCATGTTGGATTAAAGATGAAACCAATCAACTTTGAGAAACAGTGAGTCTGTGCCTATAGATTGAAATTAACCTGGAAAGAGAGTATGAAAGCAGTCTTTTTTGGTTACTTTAGTGACTCCAAAACTGCTATAGTTTATCACCAAATTCCAGCCCCGTATGGAACAGGTTTATATTTCTGGAATCGTGATGTTCCTGGGAATGGCTTGTAGCAGGATACAGCTGTGAGCTGCTGCAAGCAGTTGACAAGGTATTGTCATATGCTGTATAAATACAGTCTTTGATCCTGACAGATGGAGGGTGAGACAGAGGGGAAGTGGATAAATGGATATCTAGACCCATAAGTTGTTCTTGGATTCCACACAAGTGTGATTCTGCAGCACAAAGGACAAGAGAGCGTAAAGGACATTACTCTGTTGACTGTTGTATGCCTAATGTGGAGTGCTCTTACAAGTCTGCTTTCAGCTAGTCCATTGGCATATGAAGGATAGTGGTCTCTGGGGCCTGTGACCTCCTCGCTGGCTTGCAGATAGTAGCATTTGACAAATGGGGTATTTGTATTTTCTTCAAAGGCATATTTAAAGCAGATCTTTACTGTTGAGTCTGTGCTCCATTAACATGTCTTGCAGGATTCTCCTAGGTAAAATCCGTTACCAGACAATACTTGGTTGGCTCATTCCTGCTCCTGCTAAACAGGCCAGGATCTCTTGTTTCCAGCCATGAGTCCCTTACATTACTATGCACTAGCTAAATGGAGCCACAATAGCTATTTTATCTTTCAGTTACTACTTGTTTATATCTCTCTTTTGGCTCAATAAAACTGTGATAAGTGTAGTGCCTTCAGCTTTCTTTAAATAAAATAGAATTTGATCGTTGTGCCTCTTTCTCAGTCATCTGGTCTTACCACTTTAGGTCGCCTGCCTCCATTTTGTTTTTCTTTGCCCCTCCCCATCAAAAAGGAAGCAGCCCTTTGGCTTGCACAGTGGCGAATACACTGGTTCAATGGCCAACAATATGGTTGCCATTTTCAATGTTTAGGGAAGAACCACAGCTGTCTTATCTGAATTCCGCAAGTCTAGTCAAGACTTGGGGTGAGCATTTAACACTTTTCTGGGCACCCGAGTCCAAGAACAAGGCTAAGTCAGCTAGAAAGTTTAGAGGAAAAAGTATCTTATAATGCCATAGTTGAGCGAGCTGGCTGGGTGTTAATTGTGTGCTTGGTTTCAACACAAGTTAGGCATGAAGTCCTAAGGTTGCACTTTGACCCCTTTGAAGTGTTCAGCTGTGTCATGCTTTAGGACATTGAGGTCACCTCAAGTCATGCTCACTTCCATGCTGGGTCATATCCCCACACCAGGGGTACATGGGTAGCTGTTTATCTCCTTCATGTCCTTTGTTCCATCATATTGCCATTGCTGCAATTCATGCATATGGACGTATCCCCTCTGTGCCTCTTTTTCCATCTACAGAAGATGGTGGTGGTTTAACCACCTTTTTATAAAGCAATGTGATAGAAATGGATGAAAGCAATGTAAGAGCTAGGTGTAACTTGTGATTCAGGGTGCTGTACTAACGCCAGTGTCCCAGGCCCTGATGCATTGACACAACATTCTTTGCTTGCCACATGGAATGAAGGAGACGTTATGGTAACAAAAGAAATCCCTGTTATGTGAATGCTGCTTAATGAGCCTGAAGACTTTTCAGATACATTGCAGATCTCCACAGGAATTGAATTAAAAGCTACACATTACCACGCCTGAGAGTCCAAGATAGCTAAGGGATACTTCTTCAGCTAGACAATCAAGGATTTCCGAGTTAAGACCAGTGGAGTGCTTTGAACTTAGGCCACACAGAAGAAAGGTCGCAGTTGCCCATCAGCTCAAACCAGACTGAATGAGTGGCAGTATTCCTCATACAACACTAACGTTTCTGAATTGGTAGGATACAAATGCACTATGCAAAAGTGACTATGGCAACAAGGAAAACTGCCCATGGTTTGATGCCCATGATTTTAGATGTGGGTTTGCCTTCAGCAGGGAAGGGTCTCCAATGTGAAGAACCTGGCTTGAATAAACAAGTACAAAACTATACTATAGAAGATCTCCAATTTTTAGATTCTCTCCCACAGAGATTTTTCTTCTGAGCAAGCCAATTTAAAGTTCTTGGGTAAAATTTACAAAAGTGACTAGGAACTTAGGAACTGAAATGCCAAAGACACTTCTGAAGGTGGAATTTAAGGTCTCTTAAAAACATTACTTCTGGTGTTTTTAAGGTGCTCTTGATGCCATAATATAAACATCTGCCTTCAGGGTAGAAGTCTCTGCATTTATGCGTGGTTGCTAATTGTCAGAGACTCATCCCCCTTGGGTTTCAGAGCCTGGGCTCTAGCCCGAACAGGAATGTCTGCAATACTATTTTTGGCCCCATAATTTGACCTCAAGTCCATTGACCCTGGGCTCTGAGACTCTCTGCTGCAGGTTGTGGGGTGGTTTTATTTTTGCATTGTCGACATACCCATAGACTTCTGATGGGGGAGAGATCTCCAAGTTTTATATACTACTATACAGTGAGAGTTTAATGTAATTGGCCCCTGCCATCCTTAGCACTGTAAACAAAATCTGTACCATTCAGAATTTGACAAAACTCTTGCTTCTGAGCTTGGTAAAGGACCTTTGCTACCAGAGGGAATAGGGGAGAATATACCTCTGCTCATATACTACTTCATAGCAAAACATTGTTATGTTCTTTATGGGTTTGTGGCAGCAATGTCTATTAGGAGAAGCACTACAGAATCAGCAGAGTCCAGAGTATCTTATTTGAGGTACTGTGGGAACCAGCAGAGAAGATTGCTTCCACAATTACAAATTAAATTGAAACTTTAAAAAATTTCAGCACGGTTTTTTTAACACTTAATTTTATGAAAAATACTAAACTTCTGAAGTTAGGTGGTTTTGGGCTTCCTAATGTAAAACTATTACATTGCAAATGGTCTTTCACAATCTGCTCTTTCTCTTGGATGTACTGAATCATGTCTTTGGTACATTTAGATGGTCTAGAAATGGTACTCTGCCTGTTTGCACTAATGGAAAAAGAGGACCAAGTCAGTATGAAAGTATAGTGAGACTGTGTGGGGGCATAGCTTCTAGTTTCACTAGAATTTATTATTCTTTGATGTAAATTTCTTACTGAGAAGAACAAAAATAGAAAGTATTGGTGGTTTTTTTTTGTGCATTTATATTTGGATGGCTGGCCAGTTACCTATTGTGTCTTTGGAATATCATTACTAAGGTGCATTTATCATTGAAAGTAACTAGCAATAATTAGAGTAAAATCCTTATACAGAAAATTATTGTTGGTGTTTAAAATACAATTTCTTGGCTTTTTAATCTCTTTGTAGTTGTTACAAGGTGGAAAAAAAGGCAGACTCTATGGACCCCTGAACACCTTTATTGTTAGGGTGTCATAACTGAGGAAAACCTTGTCCAATCATTTTACATTTGATAGAACCACATCTGCATTAGTAAATTTGGCCGGAATAGCTAAATCAGCAAATCCTCCTAGTGTAGACTCAGTGTATCTTATTTTGCTCACCGAACATATGGGATTGAAGTAGTGTAGTCCAGGACTTTACAAACCAATATTTTTGCTTGTTTGTATGGATATGGGTAGTTTGGAAAGCAGTGGACACTTCATATCCCAAAGAAAACTGGCATTCAATTTCATGCTTCAGGTCATAAGCCGACATTGCCACTGGGTCAGGGAGGAGTTTCTTGCCCCACCCACTATTCCATCCCACAGTTCAGCATGGGTATTCTGCTTTCCTGTGAAGCATTGGTATGGCCACTCACCTGGACTGGCAAATGTCCCAGTATGTTCCCAATGCCATGCAAATGAAGAAAATCGCTCTGCTATTTCAGATATTTCTTAGTTGAGGAAGGGTTATGGAAAGAAAAGAGGAGTCTTAAATGGAGCTGCCTTTTAGTCATGTGTATTGAACAAGAAAACATGTTGTTCAGGAGTGTGTGAGGAACAGGAAGGATGTCTCCATAGTGGTCAGTTATTCTAATATCCTGTTCCATATGAAGCAAAGCTTCATTTAAGCCCTGTGGGAATGCTAGTTTGCTTAGTAATTGTCTTTCGTGGGAGAAAAGGGTATTTCCTGGTGGCTCTCCCTGTCCTACCTTTTCTTTTGTTTCTAGGTACCTGGTGACCCACCTCATGGGGGCTGATCTGAACAATATTGTGAAATGCCAGAAGCTCACAGATGACCATGTACAGTTTCTTATATACCAAATTCTTCGGGGTCTGAAGGTACTTGTACCAGTCCTATCAAAATACTGAGGAGATGGAAATTCCTGAACTGTACAATCCCCCTTACAGAGATTAACATGAATGGATTGTGGAGTTTATTCACTCTCTTAGTTCATGTAGGGTAACCTTCTGTTGCCCTTTCTCCTGTCCACTTAATGATTCAGTATTGTTATAGTGCTCCACCAGAAACTCACAATGTGAGTACATTCTCACATTATGCACAGCAATGGGCTGAGTCTGGAAGGTTATGAATAAGAGCTGTTCTGTGCACTATCATAGTGGATCTTTTATCCCTGCAATTTATATCATTATTCTAGTTTCATTGTTGGTAACAGTGAATTCTTCAGTGTCTGGAAGGAGACAGACTAAGTATGAAACGCCTTTGTGCATATGACCCTTGGAAGGCCTATGCACCACTTAAGTCCCACTTAATTCCTGCTGCAAATTAATTGTGTGTGCGGGGCGGGGGTTAATATGCTCTAGTAGTAAGGACATGGGAGGATGTTTACTCCATACTGATCTGTAAAATATCTGTCATCTTGTGTTACAGTACATCCATTCGGCTGACATAATACACAGAGTGAGTATTTGTACTAGGATAACTTTGTTTAAAATGTATGGAAATCAATAATTTAAAAGGTGTGACATTGAATCCGTTCATCACAGCAGCTTTAGAATTGGGATGAAAGCTTTTGGGGAATATTGCAGGAAGTTGTCTTGTAGTGGGGAAAATGACATTAAGATTCCTGGGTTCTGTTCCCAGCTCTGCTTTGACTTGCTGTGTCTTTGGGTAAATTGCATTACTCCTCTCCATTACCTTAATAGAGGTATTGAGGCTTAATTAGCCTTTTATGAAAGAATCTTGAAAAGACTGACTGCTGCTTATACAGAAGGCCTATGAGAACAGCAGAAAACTCAGTAAAAATTGGCTCTAGAATGAGACCCCCCCACACAAAAAGAAAGTTGCATTCTTATTTAAATGGTTGTTAATGCCAAATGCAGACAATGCATAGACTCTGCTGTAACTGCAGATAATACGTTATTATGCAAGGCTGATGCTAATATTGTTTCCTTCTTTTTTAGGACTTAAAACCTAGTAACTTAGCTGTAAATGAAGACTGTGAGCTGAAGGTAATCTGGTGATAGTATGCACTTAGTTTGACTTGTGGTTTGAGTAGTTATGGTGGACATTGAAGATGCAGAAGTTATATAAGCAAATCAGCTTCTTAGTAGCTCAACTTAAAATGCCTGGAATACTTTAGTCCTCACCTGTTGTATGTTTTCAAGGGGCTGAAAGGAAGTTTGTGCAAAACTTCTATTGAACTTTTTACGTGTTGTGTGAATTTAGTGCTCATGAGAGTAAAAGCTAACAACTCTGGCTTGGAATTGAGTACAGTAGAGTTAGAGGCAAGTTATGCACACACAACTCTGCATAAATGCTGGTACTCGAGGTCTATTGTATTTTTGTCTAGTGCCTTAATTTGTGTTCCATAATCTACTCTCTGCATCATTCCATCCAGTTCTTTCTCCACCCAGTCTCAAAACTGCCTGATTATTTGTTCTAAAGAATTTAGGTTTCATTTTTCCATTACAACAATGTGCAGCTTTCTTATATTGTTCTGCAGATTCTGGATTTTGGTTTGGCCCGGCACACGGATGATGAGATGACTGGGTATGTGGCTACCAGGTGGTACAGGGCTCCTGAGATCATGCTGAACTGGATGCATTACAACCAGACAGGTACATTAGCAGAGGGGTTCTCATTTTTTATCGTGTAGCTCTCATCTTGATAGGGATTGTTTTATGGACACAACCCCCCCTCCCCTTCCATTTGTAAATGAACCACTGGGGCAACTATAGCAACTGTACTTGAGTAAAGCTGAATGGGAGGAGGCAGTGTTGTGTGGCCAGCCAGCTGTCCATGGACCACAGCTTGAGTATCATTACATTAGCATTCACAGGATTTCATTTAAATAATTCACTTACAATTCTTGAGATTATAATGAGCAAAATATCTGGCCTCATAGATATTCCTCTCATTTTGCCAGGTCATGACTTCCTATAGAAATAGATAGTATAAATCTGCTCCTTTGATTTCATACCTCTTATTTCTTTTTGTGTTCTCCTGTCACGCTCTCCTCTTTACTTGTGCATACATCCCCCTGAATGTTTTTGTGGCTTTCTCTTTCCATCTGTTTCCATTTGGGTATGACAGGAGTAAGACCAGGCCCTCTTGCAGCTGTGCAAATCCATCCCACAGAGATCTGTCTGCCTCGAACAGGCTTTTCCCTCTTCGTCTGTGGACTTTGATGCCTGATGGGCATTATGCCCAGCTGGGGAAACTTTCATCTAATTTGGTATTAGGTTTGCTTCGTCAAGTATCAGCTGATGGTCACGGAACATTGTTGGCTGGCCTGGGACATGGTATAATTTGTATTTAACGCCAAAGCATGGAGTTATTTCTACTTATTGAAGAAGGTAATTCTGTTGAGATTTTATTTTTCCTAGACTACATTTATTTTTTTGTTTTTGTTTTGTTCAGTTGATATTTGGTCAGTGGGGTGCATTATGGCTGAGCTGTTGACTGGAAGAACATTGTTTCCTGGTACAGACCGTATCCTTTTAAAAACTTTATTTTGTCTTTTGAAATGTAAATTAGAGCTCTTCACTTTCACACATTTCACAAGGAAATAAAATTTTCAGTGATGACTTCTTGTGCTCCAGACATGGCTAGGTGTGTCCCACATGAGAAATCATTACTGTGCAAAAGGAGGCAGAACTCTTCCTCTTTATTGGTACCTGTCATTACTAGAACTATCTTGTTGTCAATTGCTGGGAGTCCCACACCTTGTCAGTCTGGCAAAATTATTGCGTTCTGGGTTTGGTCAGTGGCACAATATGCCCCATATCCCTATTGTATCCTTCTTGTGCTTATTGCAGATTCCTTACAAGTATAAAATATCCCTTATTTCTCAGTAAGGTGATCACCTCTGTGTGTTTAAACGGGGCGCTATTAAAACAGCGATTCTTCTGCTTCTTTAGGTCAGGGATCCCTTGCCAATTTGTTCCAAATATCCAGCTCCCTTGTCAGACGCTTATTAATTTTAATCATTTGAGTTCCACTCCCCCTTTCAGTGTGTGCTGGGGCAGATGTGAGAGCTCAGGCTCTGGTAAGACTTGTTTCAGAATTGTTTTGATAGCACCAAAGTGGCCTGGGTGAGATCTTTTGGCAGACCTACAAGAGAGGGTAACTTGTTCAGAGGAGAATAAATCCTTTGCAGGAGCATCTTAGGACAGTGGTCACCGGTCGATTGCCATTGACTGGTCAATCCTAAAGGATCTCCCAGTCGATTGCGATCTCCAGCAGCACAGTATGGCTGCTGCTAAGGCAGACTCCCTGCCTACACTGGCTCCACGCCACTCCCGGAAGCTGCCAGCGCAGCCCCGGGGCTGGGGTCTCCCTCCGTGCGCTGCTCCTGCCTGCAAGTACCGCCCCCACAGCTCCCATTGGCTGGAAGAGCTGCGGGGGCGATGCTAGCAGAGAGGGGCAGCATGCGGACCCATGGGCCTACCACAGGGGCGTGTTGCTCCCTTCTGGGAGTGGTGTGGGGCCGAGTTAGACCCTTAGCCTCGCTGCACCCACCACCAACTGGGTGCCGCCAGAGGTAAGTGCTGCCCAGCAGGAGGCCACACCCCAACCCTCATCCCTGAGCCCCCTCCCGGGGCCTGCACCCTGAGCCCCAGCCCTAACCCAGATCCAGCACCTTGTACCCCCGTCTTGCACCCCAACACTCTGCCCAAGCCTGGAGTCCCCTCCCAGAGCCAGCACCCCATACCCCCTCAACGCCCTGCCCCAGGCTCAGCCCAGAGCCCCCTCCCACACTGCAAACCCCTCGGCCCCAGCCCAGAGCCTGCACCCCTTCCCAAATGCCAACCCCCTCTCCCAGCCCAGTGAAAGTGAGTGAGAGTGGGGGAGAGCAAGTGACCAGGGGTGGGGGGAATGGAGTGAGTGGGGCGGGGGTGTGGGGAAGGGGCGGGGTAGATCCTGGGTTGCCCTTAGATTAAAAAAGTTATCTTGGGCATAAAAAGGTTGGAGACCACTGATCTAGGAATATCTTCCCCAGGGAATTAGAACAAAAAAACCCTACTGTTTGGAACAAATTGGTGTATTTCAAAGAAAAAACCAAAACTTTAGTACAGCCATTAAATGACTAGGGATAAAAATCATCCCTGGCAGAGGTGATTGAGTAACATCTGAATATAGGGATGAATTTTGCCAGAGATTAACCACCTTTCGCCAAAACTCCCCCCACACCATACTCTCGATTGTAGTGTGTCTGCATAAGCACTAACATTTACATCTGTTTACTGGAACATATTGTCATTCAGTTTTCTAGTAATGTTTAATATGTTAACGTACTATTTAATATGTCATCTTGGAACACACTTTCCTAGGCCTTAAAAAAAACCAAAACCCAATTGCTTTTTTCCTTTCATTACCCTTGTCACTTTCTGTTGTATGTTTTCTCTTCCTCCTTCAGTGTGTCTAACTATTCCATCCGTCTTCATCTCCTTGTTTTGCATTATCTACTTCCTTTCCTTCCCTACTAACTGTGATCTTACTCATCCCTCTAAATTTGCTAAATATGCTCTCATTCAACATCAGTCATCATCTCTCCCCTTCTCCTCTTTTCAGTTCAGTTGGGCTACTTGAACCCCAGTTCTGCTTCTCTCTCTCTCCTCCTTGTCTGGGGTCTAGAAGAGAGAAATAGACAAAAACTACTGTCTCCCCATTTTGACTACCTAATTGCTGGCAACCAATTTATCAGGTGGTCTGGCTTGGACAGTTGGCTTTTTGCTGCAGAAAAAGAAACCAGAATATCTGATTCAGCAAAAATATCACTGCTGTTGACATTTGACCCTGGAAGCAGTGGTACCCTGAATTCAGAATGTAAATAGGAGAATACTGATTCAGAGTCTCTAACAAAGGTTGCTTAAACTTCAGGTGCTTCAGATGAGGTCTCTTCTGCCAGATGTAACCAAAAAAGCTACAAAGACGTGTAATTAAAATGTCTCAAATAGGATTTGCAATATAAGAGAAGCAGTGTGGCCTAGTGGATAGAACACTGAACTGGAACTCTCAGGACCTGGGGCTGCCACTGGCCTTCTGGGTAATCTTTGGCAAGTAACTTCAGTTCTCTGTGTCTCATTTTCCCCCTCTTTAAACTGGGGATGTTACTTCCTTTATAAAGTGCTTTGAAATCGACTGGTGAAAAGTGCTGCATAAGAGTTAGATGTTTTGTTAAATGCCAGGAAATAATTCTCAGTGTGTACTTTACTGTACCGAGCAAAATAGATAAATCTTTCCTTCCAAGTCTGAGAGTCTTTCCTCTGACTTTTTAGAATGTGCCTTATAGGCATATAACTACTGTGCAAAAGAAAGTTTGATTTTAAGAAATCCTGTCCTTTCCCGTGTCATGGTAAGGTACTTTACTAGTTTATATATATTTCCTGCAGATACTTGCAATTCTCTATCTTGAACACATGCATTCTTTCACACATGTTGATAATTTGTCACATCATGAAGTTTTTCTCCTAATCAAGGCTTGATTTTTATATAAAGGTATTGAGGCCCTTCCCACACCACCTCCACAGATATAGAAAGCCTATAGTAGTTCGTTGAGCATTGCCTGCATGGATCCCCACCTTAAGTGACATGAATATCCTATGCACGTGAGATTAGCACATTCTGGAAAACAGTATCTGTTGGGGGTTATGTGTGTACCTTACCTAAGCCTTTACGCCCCATGCCAAAGATATAAAAGGGGGCTAACACCCTCCCAAACCTCGACTTGGTCCTGCATAGACAGCAACAAGGAACTAAAGGTAGTGACTCACCCAGATCTGCATTTGTTAAGATCAGTGCCCTGAGCTCCCAACATGTTCAGCATTGGGGGTTATTATTCAAGTGATTAGCCATAGTTTCTATAATTATACGTACAGTGGGAACATTAAGTCTCTCAAGTGTTATCTTCGTCTTGGTTACCTCTGCGGTGAAATTCATAGATCAACTGTGAGGTTCTATAGTTGTTAAAATCTTTTTTGATGAGGGAAGAGTTGTAGGGAAATCGACAGATGCAGAAAATTTTGGGGTGATGGGAATAAGATCAAGGAGTGTATTTGACTGAAGACCTTAATTTCTCACTACCACACACAATTAGATTAATCATTCACTGTCCTCTTGAAATTCTGTCATTTTCAGAAAATGAATTAAGTGATTTCAGATATTTGTAATCTTCCCTTCTGTTTAATACTAATATATGTGCTTTTACAAGCATATTTTCCCATTGATTAAAAACATTTTTATCACCTCTTTTTTTCAATGTGACTAGTCCACTCAAATAAGAGAGGAAGCTGATTTGCTGTTTTCCCTGTACAAAGTACTGTCATTGTGCAAAAGGAAACAAACATTTCTTTCACTGTTGGCAATCTTGGACGTTTGTTACAACAATATAGACAAAATTATATTTCTCTGACTGTTAAATTGACTGTATCCCTTTAAATTCTGTGATGAAAATATATATTTTTGCCATCCAATCATGTGCTGTTCTACAGAAGTTCATGTTGAAAACGAACCATTTGGAAATTACATGGTCTCTTGGTACATTTTGCTCTGCTTGTCTAGTCTCTCAAGTATTCTTTGGACATGCTTTGCGTGGATAAGCTCTTGTAATCTTGCAGTGTCTGCTGTTGATGATGGAAGATTGATTGTTTTCTGCATTTCAGGATCATTGGGACTTGAGTCCTCGGAGAGCCTGTGGCGATCCCTTTTGAGGTTTGCATGCTCTGCTTTCCCTTTCCATACACTACTTTTCTTGTGAGTGTTTTTTTGTTTTGTTTTTCTTGTTTTTGTTTTCCTTTTGCTTTGTGTGTTTACTAACTTTGTTAGTTTGGTGTGTAACTGTTCAGAGTTCACTTCACTCTGGCACCACTTGCCCCATTAGTTAAGGCTATGCTTGTAATTCAGTGGGATACAGATGGTAGGCCTAAACTAGATGCAGTAGTTCACATGTTTGCATGCTGCAATGTCCACTCAGCACATTAGTTTTGGGAGCTACCAAGGTACTTGAAGTGTAATACACTTCGGAAATTTCTGGTAACTTCTAATACCTTGCTGTCTCCTGAGAATAGGGTTGACACAGCAGATGGCACACTATGTGCAATAGCGTCATTTGCACACCTGTGTTCACACGCCATATCAAAGCCAACACTCTGGGTTTGTTGTGAATGGGTAACTCAGTTAAGGAGTTCAGACCCTAGCAGTTCTTTTTTTGATCATCTTTTCTTTATCAGGTAAGATTTAAAAATAAGAGCATCTTAAAATTTAGACACAATTAAATATTTTTCTTTATTATAAAATTATATATTGGATTTGTGTTTAATAAAAAAGATCAAATCAATTTTGTAAGTGCCAGCTATTTAAAAACTCAATAAAGTGTAACTACCAAAATAAAAAAATGCTTCTGACTCTCACTTTAGTTCAGTTCTTTCACACTTATAAATCAAGTCCTTTTAGTATCTTAAAATAACACTGGGCAAATTTAATATTAATAT